ATTTTGTCCCACTGGGTTTTTCCTAATAAGGTTTTAACGAGGCATATTCATGGTATCATGAGCACTATTGGATAAATGATATGATTCCTCACGGTGATAAGAGAGACTGGAGTAGCTGTACTCTTTTTCCTTCGATCAAGTTTTTTCCCACTGGGTTTTCTTGACAAGGTTTTAACGAGGCAGCACACATGGATACTCCACTAAAGATGATCTATTTGAGGGGGAGCAAAGTTGTGCTTCCACGATGATCAGGTTTTGTCCCACCGAGTTTTCCTGACGAAACAATGTTATGATTTCACGATGATCAGGTTTTATCCCACCGGGTTTTCCTGACATGTTGAAGCAACGGTACCTGATGGCCACAAGATACACTTGAAGATGTACAGATTGGGCTTTATTCAAATTAGTTAAAATATGTTTAGAAAATAGTCATTCAAGGGGGAGTGTTATGAAATAATAAAATAATGTATGTGAATGACTATTTTGCCCTTGATGTATTTGTATTATTACGAGTTGTGCCATCAGAAGTTTCCTATAAATAGGACCTTCAGTTATAATGAAAATCGTACCTAAGAGAATACATTTTCTCTATTCTCTCTCTTTCTCTCTAATTTTATAACAATAAACACTTTATTGTTTTTATTTGTTATTATTATATTTAATTTTCGATCGAATAGTGTTGTTAAAAAATTTATGAGAAGAGTTTTCTAACAATGAAAAGTCATATGAAAATACTTGAAATCAATAGTAAAATAAATTGATAAATGTCGAGTTTTAACTTTTAAGGCGACCAACCTAAATTTATCGTTTGATTTCATAACACTTATTTTGTGTATAATACTTGTAAATGTTTTTCCTTGTTGAAAGAAAAAAAATTGTAGAAATTTGTGAGTTGTGAGTGATGATTTCATGGAACCTATATTGTTTAAAGTTACTTGTAAGTTGGAAGTGTTTTTTTTCTTTTTGGAAAAAAAAAAAAACAAAAAAAAAAGGTAAAATTTTGTGAGTTGTGACTCATCAAGCTGTGTTTATAGTAGCGTAGCGTGCATGGAACAGTTCACAGAACATTGAATGCAATTGAATTATTAACTGCAAATATTATGAATTTGAATTTTTTTTTTCAAACGATAGAATTATTCATAATAAAAAAAGAATCAGAAGTTCGAATACAAACCGGGAAAACACTGAAACCGCAAGACCTGAGAGAACTGCTACAAACAAGCAGCCTAGAAACAAATACACGCTAAACCAACTAACATAAGGATCAAAGGCAGCTAGGAACAAGCTGTGACCTTCAACTCCATAGAAATTCATAATTCCACACACTCGAGCATTTAAACAAGGAAAAATTACAGACCTGTACTCAAATACAAAAATAAGAATGGAAAACTATCACTGACCCTAGACCTAACAGCTCCCATTCCTGCTCCTGTACTCATTGTCTGCTTGCCTGAAAATCGGTCCAATCCTGCCAAGCTGCTCGTATAATGTATACTTTCGGTTTCCACCCACCTTCAAACACCCAAAGATTTCTCGCTTTCCATAGCCACCATAGATATACGTAGATAATTGAATACGAACTACAGAGGTTTCTTTACTGTCCATTGTGCATATCCACCACCACCATTCCTTGGTTATCAGTTTGTGCCGTATCCCAACTCACTGGGGCCAACTTCCAAGTCCTTCTAGCTTTCGCACATTGAAATAAAATATGTTCTTGAGTTTCTGCTGCTTCCCCACAAATTTTGCAAATATCATCAACACAAACCCCTATCCTTTTCACATTGGCTCCCATAAGTAAGATGTTGGAAAAACACTTTCAAATAAAATGTTTGACCTTCCCCATGATTTTCATTTGCCAACATCTAAGTCGGGCTTTAGAATTCATCCCTGCCATACTGCTAAATTCTGCTTCTTCAAACTTCACAACTTTCCTAGCAATCATTTCAGAATAAAGAGAACTCACCGAGAAATTACCTTTCACAGCAAATTTGCAAGAGATGCGGTCTGGCAGAGCCGGGTTGAGAGTGTCGATTAGCATGATCTTGGCCGCATCTTCTTCCTCAAACAAAGCTTTGACGAGCGTCTGATCCCAGGTTGTACCTCCATTGCTCAACAAGTCTTTCACCTTGAGATTGACTTCTAAACCTGAGATTCTGATTCTTGGCTGCCCGGCACCCAATTGATATCCGAGATGTTTGTATCAGCCCCATTCCTGATAGTAATCTTTATCCCAAGCAGTATATAAATCAAGGACGACCACGAACTCCACAACCACGACACACCTTATATTCAAGCAGAGAACAAGCCGAAAAATATTTATGTTTTAAAACTTGACTAACCAGCAGGTCAGGCTTGCTCATTATCCTCCATAACTGCTTACATACCATGGCTTTGTTGAAAAGAAGCAAGTCCTGAAAACCCAACCCTCCATTTTTCTTCGGCAAAGTTAATTTATTCCAAGCTTTTCAGTGGTAGCCAGCATCTTGCTCCTCCCCCCTACTCCACCAAAAATCGGCCATTAACCTGTTTATCTGTTTGCACACTCCAATGGGAATCAGAAATACAGACATCACAAATACCGGCAACGCATTAAGAACAGATCGAATCAACACTTCTTTTCCTGCAGTCGATAAAAATTTATTCCTCCAGCTACATACACGGGTTGTAGCCGCTTCACTCACATAAGCGAAAGCCTCAGTTTTTGATTTCCCAATACCAAGCGGCAGCCCTAAGTATTTAGTAGATTTATGCACCGCAATGCCAAACAGAATATTATAAATACTGAGCTGCTCATTTTCAGAACAATTTTTACTCAAAAACAAGGAAGATTTAGCTAAATTAACCTTTTGCCCTGTGTAAGATTGATAACTTTGCAATATTTGCATCAACCTATTGGCATGTTCCAAGTCAGCTTTACAAAACACAAGAGAATCGTCGGCAAAAAGGAGATGAGAAATTGAAGGCCCTGTCCGAGATATTCTGATGCCATTAAACAGCCCCAAACTTGCGTGCTTATTCAGCAAAGAAGAGAACACTTCCGACACTATAATGAAAAGATAGGGTGACAAGGGGTCACCCTGTCTTATGCCTCTGGTAGGTGCTACAAGCCCGCACACCTTGCCGTTGACATTGAAAGAAAAAGAAGCCAATGAAACGCAGACCATAACCCATTTAATAAAGTTGGGATGGAATTCCATTTTGAACATAGTCCCCCGAATACTCTCCCATTCAATGCGGTCGTACGCTTTTTCCATATCCAACTTTATAGCCATAAACTTATTTGGACCTGTTTTGTGCCGGTTTAGGAAATGAAACAGCTCATGCGCAATAACCACGTTATCCCTTAATTGTCGGCCGGGGACAAAAGCTGTTTGCGCGGGGTTGATACAGTGAGATAAGCAGCCTTTCTACCGAATTGCTAGAATCTTTGAAATCGCCTTATAGAGTACTCCGCATAAGCTTATGGGTCTATACTGCTTCAATGATTCAGGATATAAACATTTCGGAATTAGCGTGATAAGAGTGTGATTCCATGCTTTCAGAATTTGCCCCGATGAAAAAAAAACTCCTGATAGTTGAGCAAATGTCTTTCTGCACAATGTTCCAGAAATGTTGAAAAAATTTCGCAGTCATACCGTCCATCCCCGGTGATTTATCGGGAGCTAAATTGACAACCGTTGATTTGATTTCATCGTCGGTTACCGGAGCCACCAACATGTTGTTCATGGACAAAGAAATAGACCTGGGAATTTGGTCCAGCACACTGTCTCCCCCTTGTGACCCCTCAGAAGCAAATAGACCCGCATAGTAATCGGTAATATGTTTCTTGATCTCCTCCTCTGTCTCACAGATTCCCCCATCATCTCGCAGTAGACGCTGAATAGCATTTTTTTTCCTTCTGTGTAACGTGTACGCATGAAAAAATTTAGAGTTGCAATCGCCAGCTTTCAGCCACAGCGCTCGAGCTTTCAATCTCCAGAACTTCTCCTCTTCATTGTGCGCTTTATTTAAATTTGATTTTAAGATTGCCCACAAATTCCAGTCCCTTTCCCCCTAGATTCGCTCATCGCCTGAAGTTGAGCGTTTAACCTATTAATTTGGACTCCAAAATTTGTTTTCACCGGTTTCTGCCAATTAAGTAGCGCCATTCTTGTGTACTTTATTTTTTCCTTGACCCTGAACATCGGTGTCCCTTCACACTGGGATTGCCACCCTGTAAGAACAGCCTCACTTACACCATCTTTTATTGTCCACTCACTGTTGAATATAAATCTACCCTTCTGCTCGGTGCTCTGTTCAGAGGTCTCCATAAACAACACATTATGATCCGAGGAGCTACGAAACAAATTTGATGCCCTGGTCCCTGGAAGTTGTTGCATCCATCCTAGTGATACGAAAATCTTGTCCAACCTTTCTTCGATATAGCGTTCCCCATCTCTGTTATTTCCCCAGGTGAAAAACGAACCACACTGATGAAGCTCTTGCATTCCCATATGGGCAATAAAAGCATTAAATTCACTAAATGAACTAGCCGACCTTTGCCTGCCGCCTCTCTTTTCCTCATTACTACAAATGTCATTCCAATCTCCGGCGATAGCCCACACTTCTCCCTAGTTTTGTTGAGCATCTTTTAGAAACCGCCACTGCTCTTTTCTTGCACTTTTATCGTTGCTCAAATAAACCATTGTAACCCACATCCATTCTTTATCCCCAAAACATCTAGCCTCCACCTAAATACAAAACTCATTCCCCAGCACCTGTTTCACTTCCGTTTCAATATCCCACATAAGGAGTAGTCCCCCTTTTGTGCCAACGGGTTTAACAAGAAGCCATCTGTTATCATAACCTAGCTTTTTACATACTGCAATCCTTGATTTGAGAAACTGTAGAGGGCCCACCCAACCTTCTACAATTCCACACCATAGCCTTCATTGGTCACCTTGGGGCCATTTTAGGCTGGCCTTCTCCACCTTCAGATGTTCGGTTTTGGGTTTCTTGTCCAAATGTTTCTCCTCCTCAAGAATTTCTCCACCATTCTGCAAGAATATTTCACCATGTCTATCTCGTTTCCCTCCTGTTGCAAGAATGCCTGTATCAGATATGTCAGGATTTCCTTGTACTCCGCCTATTCTGACCCCGAACCTCCTCCAAGTCTTTTATCTTGAAGGACCCTTTCTCCCAGTCATCTCACTACTGAGTTCTTTTCCCTCATGCCCATCTGTGATTGTAAGGACTTCAGTGACCTCCATAATCTCTATCCGGTTATCTTCAACTTCTCTTTCCACCTCCAACTGGCTTGTGATCAACTCAGTGAGCATTTTCTCTCCTCCCGCATCTTCGTGCTCTACAATTTCTGCTTCTTGAACCATCTCTACACCCTTTCGCTGTTCACCCATAGCAGATGTGCTAGGTTTCCTAGAAGTGTTGGCCTCGGCATTAGACTCCAATTTGGAATTTATTTGAGGTTCATCCTCCTTTGGCTCTAACCCTGTAGTGTACGATTGTCTCCCACCATACATTGCCTCACCTGTTTTCAGTCAATCCCCATACTGCCCTTCACGAAGTTTTTTCTGCTCAATGTCTGATAATCTCCGGCCACACATCCGATCTAGATGACCGATGCACCCACAGTAGTAGCAAAGGTTCACTAGTCTTTCGTATTTGAATAAGACTAGATGTTGCTGGTTCTCAAGCTTGACAAAAGTGAACCTGGGCAGCGGCTCTTTGATGTTTTTGATGAAGCTTCCTGTCTCACCTCCCAGCTTGCAAACCGCTACGTTTTTAACCCCTGCAAACACTCGCCCAATCTTCAACCCTACTTCATTACACATCCAAATAAAGGAATATCCAAAACATGTACCCACATATTGACTTTATCGAAGCAGCTATGTTTGCTATTCATTCCCGGAAACCATTCATGTAGAACAAGATATTGGTTCTTGAATAACCAATTTATTCCAGCAACCACTTTCAATTTATCAGAGTTGGAATTAAATAGGAATTGAAAGAAGTTCGATTCTAATTCCCGAACCTCCAAATGTTGTTGGATCCGCCATATCGAGCTCATCGTACGTCTAATCCCATTAGTGTTGCCCTTCTCTCACCGATCACTTTCCCAAATAAGCTCTGCCCACATTCTTCCTCACTAGCTTCAATATCCTCCCTTTTGATGTCAATACCCCCTAACTCTTTCTCCGAGAACGAGAATTTTTGGAGTTTTCTCATAACCTCTTCCCCAGCTTCTTCTGTGCTCGCCATTCCACCAATTCAGATAAGAAAAAGAAAATCCCTACTATATCGCACCAAGACTGAAACCAATCTTACCCAGATCTGATAAGTCACCTTCACCAAAGGAATATTTCTCCCAAGCAAGAGAATCGCCTTGCTCTCACATGAGAGAATATTATGAATTTGAATTACTCAGTTCAGATAGATATTTTTCAAAAATATCACTTCACATGAAAGATAACACATTAAATTGATATAACTATTTTCACCTATGTAAAGCTTTATTAAATTCATCGTACAAATGTTTGGGAAAAAATAGTTCTTCAAATGTCCAGAAATACAAAAAAAATACATATATATATATATATATTTTTCAATCAATTCAACAAATGATCCAAAAAGTAAGCAAATGATCCGAAAGCCAAAAAAAGAATACCATCTCATCAAATCAAACCAATAAAAACATGCATTTCCAAAAGGGGCTATTCTTTTAACAACAAAATTCTCCACAAGCCCAACAATTCATCAATTAACCAAACAATCCTAAACACAAAATAAAAATTAAAATGAAAAAAAAAAAGTTTCAACTTCTCAGTTAACACCCAGCCTTAGTTTCTCTCCACTGTACTATGATAAATTCACACAGAAGATTAAAAAAGAAACTCCTGCATCGAAAGAAACAGAAAACGAGAGAGGTAGAGATAGAAATTACACGAAAACTATACACCCGGTCAACACGTTGACAAGGAAATGATTCAAAATCAGAAAACCCGTTTCATTTTATGCCCGATTCTTTCCCAAGTGTTTCGGCACGTGGAATTTTTTTTTTTTTTTCGTTTGTTTTCTGTCCTCTACGTGTAAATAAGGTCGTCAGCGTGGGAAATCCGGCTCCACGTAGGCTTAAAGAGCCATTAGTTTCCATCACGTCTGTGTCACGTGCGTGTTTCCGGCCAATTAACGGGTTTCCGGCGAGTCGGGAACGAATCTGCAACCTTTTTTTAAAGTTAGAGGACGAAACTCAAATTAACTATTTGAATAGGACTAAATTGTTCAGAGGGGTAAACTTACAGGACGAAAAATGCACTTTTCTCTAATAAAAATACTCATTTGGAGGGAATTTATTTTTTAACAAACACGCCCTTAATCCAACGATGGAAAGTCAAACCGTATTCAGAAGCCCAACTAAAAAGTAGAAAGGGTAGTTCTGTAATGTTACCTCATTTCAAATTTCACACACCTTACCATAAAGACCCCGCCCGTTGGTTGGCCCAGACAAAATTTTCATTTCTGAAAAAATAAAACAAGAAGAAAATCAACCCAAATTCAAAAAATCATATCACGATTGTGCAAGTAAATGGAGAAGATATGCGTAGCAGTTAGGCTGAGGCCATCAGTAAGCCAGGAATCAGTTAGTGGATTTCACTGGAAAGTTGAAAGCAATCGCATTTCGCTGCACAGATCTCACGGGACTCCAATTTCTGGGGTTTCCTTCGCTTTTGGTTAGCAATACGATATTGGTCGCGTTTGTGTGTGTTTAAAGTGTTTATCTTGAATTATCATTTGAAACCATTGTTTTTGTGTTTTTCTTTTCTTTTTTTTTTCGATTTGCAGATCATGTGTTTGATCAGGAATGCAGTAATGGGAGGATTTACGAGTTTCTGACGAAGGACATAATTAGTGCTGCAGTAGATGGGTTTAACGGTAAGGACTCGGTGTTCTTAATGTTTTCTATTTATGTAATACTTTTCGTTCCAATGGATTTTTTGTTGTTTGGGTTTTGTGTGAGATAATTATAGTTTGAACTTGAATAGCTAAATTATTATGTTTATAGAATAAAGGGCAAAGAAGATGTAAGCTGATCTACATTTAACACTAGGTTCATACTAAATGCCAATTTTAATTGTCAAGAAATTCATCTTCTAGATTGATATAGGTGCAATGTGTTCCATTATCTGAAAGATTTTGCGATCAGCTGCCAAGCTTATTCCAATTCCAAGAGCTCGGAGTAAATCGAATACTGATATGACCGCCTTATCGATAGTTGAAACTCCATGGAGAGAATATTCCTATGGTTTATATAGGGATCTGCGGAAGTAGATGAATTTGAATACCAAGTAGAATTTCTCCCAGTAACATAGAGAACATTTCTATTTGGAAAATTATGTTTTTTTCAAGGTGCCTTTCTGATTAAGTTTTCTCCATTCACTTTTAGGATGATATTGTCTTTGATAGTAGATCTGAGGATCAGGTTTTTAACTGGACTTTTTCTTCTTACCTTTTTGTTCACTAGGATTGTCCATAGATATATTTAATGCAACTTGAATGAGAGTTGGGGCAACTTTTCTCAATGCAGGAACTGCATTTGCATATGGGCAGACAAGCAGTGGGAAAACTTTTACCATGAATGGTTCAGAAAATGACCCAGGAATCATCCAAAGAGCTGTTAAGGACATTTTTGCAAAAATGCAGAAGGCAAATTGACCTGTTCTTTTCCACAGATAATTTCTTAATCACATTAGCATTTGTAGTGCTTACCTAATGAATTTTAGTGTTTTTTTTTTAGACATCTGATAGGGAGTTTTTGGTTCGAGTTTCCTACATGGAAATTTACAATGAAGACATTAATGATCTTTTTTCCGTGGAGAATCAAAAACTTCAAATTCACGAAAGCCTGGAGGTATGTTGAGCTGAAATAACCTATGGGAAATTTAATAATTTTTATGATGCATGAAAAATATTAATATTTTATTATTCTTCAGCGAGGAGTATTTGTGGCTGGTCTGAGGGAGGAAATCGTGAACAGTGCTGACCAAGTGCTTAATCTTATCCAACTAGGAGAAGGTCTATCCTCAAATACCAATGCATTTAAAAATACCATGAAACTGTCTTGTCAGTTTTATTGTATTTATGTTGTCAAATGCTCAGTCTGATGTGTTATTCTTGCAGCTAATAGGCATTTCGGTGATACCAACATGAATGCACGCAGTAGTAGATCGCACACTATATTTAGGATGGTATGGTTTTTCATTGTTAGAAGAACTAGAAGTTAAACTTGCATACTTCCTTTGAGTTGAGTACATTACACTTCGTATATAGCTTGTTAATTCTTTATGAACCAGGTAATTGAAAGCAAAGGAAAGGACAACAAGTGTAGAGATGGTTCGAGTTCAGATGATGCTATCCGTGTCTCTGTCCTGGTTTGTAGTCATCCATTTGAACTGTTTTATTTAGTATCATTGTCCTCTGGAACCTTACGTTTAACTTTATGGAATTTTAAAGAATAAGTAGTACTAATGCATAAAATTAAAAAAAAAAATAACACGAGGTACTTAATGAACAAGTTCTTCTCGAAAAATCTTCCCCCGGCTTATAGCTGATAAAACTATTTTCTGAAGGTGTCTTTTACGAAAGAGAAACACACTTATATAGACTACTATGCGCTAGTGAAAAAGACTCATTGGTAGCAGTTATTGCACCAATTATAATATAACAACAAACTAATGACCAAACTAAACACGGCAATAGCTGATAAATTCGGATGCTATGAAATGTTCTGGTACTTTTATGTTTTAAGCTTTGTCGAAGGTTAAAGTTTCCAAATTTTAACCACCAATATAACTGTATATTAGAACTCCTATTCAGGTAGCTGATCCTACTTTTAGTAATTTCACATTTTCTGCAATTTGGGATTAACTATTATATTTTTTGTTTTTTTTTTTTTATGGCACTGCTTGCATGTCTTCTTCGACCCAGAATTTAGTTGATTTAGCTGGATCCGAAAGAGTAGCTAAAACTGGAGCAGGAGGAGTACGTTTGAAGGAAGGCAAACATATTAACAAGAGCTTAATGATTCTTGGTAATGTGATCAACAAATTGAGCGAGGGTGGAAAGCAAAGGTAGTTGCAGATTCCTAACTGAATAAGTTGTGATTGGCGTACAGCAACTCAACAATATTTTGTTTGCAGGGGTCACATTCCATATCGTGATAGTAAGCTCACTCGCATTCTTCAACCTGCCCTTGGGGGAAATGCGAAGACTTCAATTATTTGCACTTTGGCACCGGAAGAGGTGTTTAACTACTTCATTTATAATTGCAATTATATTTACTTTAATGATCTGATCTGATGTAGAACTTTGTTGGTGTTTGTTGGCGTTTATAGATTCACATAGAGGAAACAAAAGGGACACTTCAGTTTGCTAGCAGAGCTAAGCGGATTACAAACTGCGTTCAAGTGAATGAGGTCAGCTTCTTGATCCTCTAGTAAATTTTAATATTGTTACTACCTTGAGATGTGACGTGCGAAGTATCAAGAAGCTCTGCAAATGTTAAGGTGTCATAACTCATGTCATTAAGTAATTTGTTTCCCTCGCACTTTCCACAGCAAATGCTTAAGTATGATCTTGGTTTGCATTGCTTTTCTGAACTAGAAGTATCTGCATGAAAATATAGTGAATAACCATTTATTAAATATGTAACAAACTCAAAATCAGAAAGGTACCTTCATTCTAGATCGGGACATATAAGTCCAAAGTACTTCATTGAATTTGATGGAGTTGTTTTTATGTTTATCAGATACTGACAGATGCTGCTTTATTGAAGCGACAAAAACTAGAAATTGAGGAATTGCGGAGGAAACTTCAGGTTTGATGATTTTCTATATGGAGAGAGAGAGAGAGAGAGAGAGAGAGTTCAATTAACTAAGACATAGTTATGCAGGGGTCTCATGCAGAAATATTGGAGCAACAAATCTTGAAACTTAGGAATGACATGCTCAAGGTATAACTTCTTTGTCTTAATTTTCAGGCTTAAAAGCATTTTAGTGTTTTCTGCAGCTCTAAAATGCTTTGGTCAATCTTTATCAGTATGAATTGGAACGGGAGAAGCTTGCTGCACAATTAGAAGAAGAGAGGAGATCACACAAAGTACGCGATGATTGCATTAAGGAGCAACAAATGAAAATTGACAATCTTAGCAATCTGGTCACTTTGTCAGACTCTGATCGAAGCTCTTTCCATGTAATGCTTCTGATGCACTTGCACTCATTCTGTTGCCATATCTTTTCCTTCTGAATTTATAATCTTCCTCTTTATTTTTTCCACTCAGAACTTGTGCCTAACATTTTACCAGCTCTGTAAAGCTTCTGCCTATAGAGGCAAAGCACAAAGATGGATCATAAGATTTTTCTAGCTGATATTTCTGGATCAGCGCAACTGAACTGCAATGGTTCTCATATTGTGCTGGAGTTTCCAGAAAGAAAAGCTATCATCCATCCTTCATTGAATTGCATCCGTTGAGGGGGATTAAGGAGATTCAGTTCTATTTTCATTTAGAGACATTATGATTGGAATTTTTGGACTTGTATGTATATTCATTATGATAAGCTGCAATAGAACTTGATGATATTTAAGCTCAACCCCTGTACTAGATCTGTAAAGGAAAGAGGCTAAATTTTTACGAGAGATTTGATTTTTTAATTATAATTATTTAAAAAAGAAAATCTTGTAGTCGGAAAGCAAGGGTCGATGGAATGCGGCTTGTGAACCTTAAATTATTATTTTTGCTTGTGATACTATGAATACTTACTGATCGCTTGCATCATTGATCACTTGCATATTTGTGATTGAATTAAAATGTCTCATGATGTTGGTCTTCATTTTCGTCTGATAAATTGGCATTTAAAACTCTGCTGGATGGTAGGATGGTGTTGAAGAACAGCGCTTAGATGGAAGTATCAATAGTAACAGCATGCGACCAAAAGATGCTTTTAGTACCCCATGTTTTAAAGCACCTCCCAATGTATTTGTTGCTAAGAGGTCAGACTACTCGAGGCAACCAGAGTGTAGCCCACTTCCTGATACATTTGATGATTTTGCTGATGAAGATACATGGATGAAGCTGAACAAAGGCTTTGTAACCGACCTTGACTCGCTTCATATGACTCCCGCAAGGAAAGTCCAATCATTTCCGATTAGCGAGGTACTGCATAATTCAATATTTTTGGGCATTAGTTTTTTTAATCACTTTTCAAGTTATAGCTACATTAGCTTGTGAAATATGGCCCATTACAGGACTGCACGGAGAATTACACTCAAGAGAAGCAAAACCTTCACAGACAGCTGAAACTTATCATGGAGGAAAGAGATGAATTAAAGGTTGGTTCCTGCTGATATAATGCTATAATCCCGCAGGAAGGGCTTTGTTTAACTGAATTACGCTACAGTTCAGCCTTTTCTTTTCAAGTAGATTTGTTAACTAAATGTACGACTAATTTCCTTCATCCTATGCATAATGCCTGCTCCCCAAGAGAAAATATACCGAAGAGGTGTCGTTCAATAGCCAATTGACAACAGAGATTTCTGAACTCCAGAAAGAGATATTGCTTATTCGGCAAATTCCTCAAAATTTGCATGAGGCTGTAACAAGTTGCAAAGAAATTTACAAGGATGTTTTTTCTATATTAGAGGTGAGCCCTTTATATTGCATTAATAATTATCACAAAATGTGACTGCGGGGAGAATTTATTTTTTAACGGTATTATCTTCACATTCTCTTTCCTTGCAGAACTTTGTGGTGGATGAGAAATCTGAAACTGGGCATGTTCTCTCTACTACAAGTGAAGTTGGGAACTCCTTGTTCTCAACTTTAGAGTCTCATCTAGCTATGGCTATGGATGACAAGAGGCTTTCCCTCTTGAATGTCCATTCCGTTCGAGAACAATGCAACATACTCCATCAGAAGTTGAGTGTTGCAGTTTCTTCCTTAGTATTATCAAACCAATCAACCTTAGCCGGTGAAGACAAGAATGTTTCTGTTTGCGGCAGCAAAATTAAGGTAGCTGCCTGGTCACATAATTCGAGATCTCACATGCCAGTTTTGTTATTTTTGTCCATCCTGACAATTGGATTCTATTTCTCCTTCAAGCTCATGATCTCAGGTTTTTACTGACATCTTTAATGCCCGTTATTTGAAT